GACCAGTCTCTGGAGAAGGAGACTAGTAAAACAGAGAGACAGCACAAAAGAGGAAGGCCCTCAAGGACATGGATTGACTGTGGCTGCAACAATGAGTTCAATCATAGAAACAATTGTGAGGATGGTGTCAGACCACGCAGTGCTTTGTTCTGTTGAGTATCGGGTCACTGTGTGTTATAATGGACCCAATGGCACCTAGCAATAGCAACAACAATTAGTTATTTTACTGTTCCATAAGTATGACTACTTTTAGGTGATAGAGTACACATACTCCTGGGTGATAGGGCACCGGGAACAGGAGTTCCCTAGGTGTTATCCTATTATATCACTTCTTTTGCAATAAAACAGATTCTTTGTATAGAATTAATCTAGTAATGATAAGGTATTCAGTATGTCAATGGAGAGTGAAATCAGCAGAAAGATGATGGGCAAGGAAGGAAGTCCATATCTACAATACCTATCTCCTTCAGTGAATACAATTTCTGTACTTCTGCCATGATGAAGAGGTCCAATCTTATCAGCCTCCCACTAATAGCTGGGTGATTCCCTCCAGGTATGTTACAGAGCATACGTTTATCTTTGGTCTCTGCTGTTGACATCTTAAACCTTCATCAACAGCAGCAAGATCAGCATCAATGAGGATGTGTTTATGTGGTCAATTAATGCTCCTATGCTCATGAGCCGACTGAATATATCTTGGGTTATTGGAGAAGAGTGTGACTGAAATACTCTGAACAGATTATTTGTCCACATGATTATTGAGGGTGGTGTAGTGGTTACACATGGGGCTGTAATCTGCAAGACCAGCAGTTCAAAACCATCAGCTTCTCTGAGGGAGAAAGACTAGGATTTCTACTCCTGTAAACACTTAGTGTCTCAGAAACTCACAGGGAAACTCCTAGAAACTCTGTCCTATAGGATTACTATGAATCGGCACCAATTTGATGTCAATGAGTTGTTTTTGTTTGTTTGTCTGTTTAATTTTGTAGTGGAAGCATTCACATTGGAGATGCATATTTTCATACTCTGGGCCTATTCTGAGAGATATAGTCACTATTTTTCTTGTCATCAACCCTACAGTTTATTTTTTAATGTGATTTAAAGAGAACATTTATTAAGTCTCAACTGGGACAAGGACAAGATAACTATAGGGACATATCATCTAAATGAGAGAGACCATTAGTCCAAGATCATAATGATGTCCAAGGTTTTGCTGAAATACAGAACTTTAAAAAGGACATGGAAGGTCAAAGAAAACTGTCACAAAACATGGTTGGTAGCTGATCAATATACCCTAGTTACTGATGGAACCCTTAAAACAGGATGGGGGGCCATTATTAGGACATGCACACTGTGTTAGACAGGGGCTCTTACAGGGGGTTCTCCAAAGCAGTCAGGGCATGACTCATGACTATGTGATCTTCAGTATGGTGATCTCCATCAAGGACATACCTAGGGAGATTCCTCCTCCTTGGGCTGGTTGCAAGGTGGTGGTGGAATTAATCCCCTTTTCAATGCATTGTCTGAAGGCAAAACTATTCACATCCCTTGTTAATGGAATTCAATAGAAGTTTAATCTATGTGGCCACTCTGCAAATGGATTTTGAGCTTGTATTGTCATCTATACCCTTCTGCAAAACAAGCACTCAGAATTTAAGCACTAATACAACTTCCTCCTCTGTTCGTGGATTTTATTATTGTCAATCTTTGGATCACATAGGCTAGTGTGCTCCTTGCATGGGTACTTAACTTACACTTCACAGAGCTTACACCTTACTGAGATGGTGGCTTGCTTTAAGACAAGACTTTAAGACCCCAAATATGATTCTTTCTGATCGCTGGGCACCATCTGATCTTTTCATGACACTTTGCTATAGCATCCATATCTTCACTTCATGGTGATGAGTATCAAGCAGGCCCACATCAAAAGAATGAATTGTTCTTAGATTAGGACTTACAATTAAGTATGAGCTCTATACCCGTTGATATATCTAAGGTTTATATTTATCCCTCATCCACTTTGTTGTTGTTATTAGGTGCCATCAAGGCAGTTCCAACTCTTAGTTGGAACAGTGTACAACAGAACAAAACACTGGCTGGTCCTGTGGCATCCTTATAATTGTTATGTTTGAGCCCCTCAGCAGCCATTGTGTTAATCCATCTTGTTGAAGGTCTTCTTTTTGGCCACACCACTCTACCAAATATGATATCCTTTTCCAGTGATTGGCTTCTCCTGATAACATGTCCAAAATATGTGAATCTTACCATCCTGGCTTCTATGGAATATTCTGACTGTATTTCTCCAAAGACAGATTTGTTTGGTCTTTTGGCAGCACACAATTCTTTCGATATTCTTTGCCAGCACTGTGATTCAAATGCATCCATTCTTCTTCGGTGTTCCTTATTTAGAGTCCAACGTTCACATGATTATGAAAGCCCACTCTAGAGGCAGCATTGCCAGCTTCTTGAGAGATAACATAGGTTACCTCCATAGGACATTTGGTAATTCTAATAATCATATCATTAATATAGCTAATGGTATGGAGTTTAAAATAAGAGTGAGAACAGAAAGATGTACATATATTGGAGAGCTTTTTAGATTAAAATACATGGAATATTCACTTTTTCAGATTAAAAACTTAAGTGATTGAGCACTGCTAAGAAAGCAATGAGGGTTAGATACCAGCAAAAAAAATTTTTTTAATCATTTTATTGGGGGCTCTTACAGCTCTTATCACCATACATCCATTATGTCCAGCACATTTGTACCTATGTTACCATCATCTGCAAAATATGTTCTTTCTACTTGAGCCCTTGATATCAGCTCATTTTCCCCCTCCTCTCACCTACCTCCCTCATGAACCCTTGATAATTTATAATCCCCACCTCCTATGTCTTACACCAACCACTGTCTCCCTTCACCCACTTTTCTGTTGTCCACCCCCCTAGGAAGGGGTTATATATAGATCATTGTGATTGGATCCTCCTTTCTCCCCCAACCTTCTCCTTCCACTCCTGGTATCTCTATTTTCATTATTGGTCCTGAGGGGTTTATCTGTCTTGGCTTCCCTGTATTGTGAGCTCTTACCTGTAGCAGTGTACATGCTCTGGTCTAGTCAGATTTGTAAGGTACAATTGAGGTCATGATAGTGGCGGTGGGTGGGTGGAGGAAGCATGAAAGAAATAGAGGTAAGTTGTATGTTTCATCAGTGCTATACTGCACACCATGACTGGCTCATCTCTTCCTTGTGACCCTTCTGTAAGGAAATGTCTAATTATCTACAGATGGGTTTTGGGTCTCCACTCTGACACACACACACACACACACACACACACACACATCCATTCACATTATGATTTTTTTTGTTCTGGGTATTTGATGCCTGATACCTGAAAATTGAGGAGGAGAGATTAGATGATTTGACTATAGTGATGTGCTGAAAAACTGTAGAGTCAACATTATTTAAAAGTCATTATGTAATAATGCTTCAGTATGATTCCACAACCACCATGTACTAATACAGAATATGCAGACAAACAGGGCTGGGTACCTATCATTGCACAGTTAGGGGGCGTGGCGAAAGGGACAGCAAGTGTGATTAACTGGAGAAAGAGAAATTAGAGTTTTCAACTCCCTTGTCATATAGACTTGCTAGAGGACTAGAGTCTCTGAAAACATCTCATTGCTTCCCAGAAAGGAGGGGGCCCTGATTATAAATGTGTAGGTCTTCTATTGGATGGACACCCACAGTAATGCTCCTTTATCATGGATCGTCAGCTTCGACTTCTTCCAGCTTGCGTACAATGTTACTTTCCAATGGAAAATGGGGGCATTATTTAGTTCTCAATGTTCTTGCTTCCTGGAGAGTCTTGTTCCCTAGAACAAGTCTACACAGGCTACACAGGGGCTAAGTCTACACAGTGGTGGACGTGGGGGATATTTGGTTGTGGTGATGGGCTGGGAATCTGGGTCAATGAAAGTTACTTGGCAGCTTCAAAAGAAACTTCTCGTGAATCTGCTGAAAGACCTGGTGTGCACCAAACGACACAAAACAAGAGAAAAATCCCCAATGGAAAAGAAAGCAGAAAACACTAAAAACTAGAACAACTTTAAAACGCATCCAAAGGGAGCTCTGGGGAAGCGATGTAAGAGTTCTCTCGGGATTTTTCATGCCCAATTTAAGGAGCACACCCTGGTAATGAGAAAATGGAAAAGATTATATTATGCACTTTCAAGATGGAGATAATCTCCACTCAACACTGCTAACTGCAGTGTCATGCTACACGTTGTGTAATGTTCAGATAGGTCGGGACATCTTGGGCATGGAGTCCACGACTGCTCTTGCCTGCTGTACTCCTGGCCTAGGAATGGGCATGGGTGCACAGTGTCGGGGTGAAGAATGAGCATAAGGTGCATGAGCCTAGACAATTACATAGGAGCTTGAAGGCCAAGGTTACCCATGGAAAGAATGCCTGCCCCTCCTTGCCCCACTAAGAGCAGAAGCAGAGGCAATGGCCTTGAATTGATCTGGGAAATTTAGATTGGACCCAAGAGAGGACTCTCTCCTTGGGAAAAGGGTGACATCATGAATCAGGCCTCCATATAGAAGGAGGAAGGCCTTCTTCTCTGATTGCTTAAAAAAATATATATATATATATATATATTCTTGAAGATAAAAGTACAAGCCAGTAAGCAGGCTGACAAGTTTCTTAGTCTTTTCCATCATGGAGTCCAAAGTGAATTCCAAATCTTATTGCTCGTTGCCAGTAGAGGGAGGGACGTAGTTCGAGAGAAAGGCCATTGCAGTAATAACTCAGCTCTTAGCGGATGATGAAGGTGTTGGGGAGAGTGAGTAAACTCCTTCCCTTGGGTCAGCACTCTAGGATGAAGCGTGCAAACATCAGGAAGGGGCTGGAGGGGCAGTTCTTTGTCGATGTGTGTTCTTGGGATGGAGGTCGTTCTGGAGCACATGACTCTACTGCCCCACTCTCTCTATCAGGTGGACTCCCTACACGGTCTGCTGCACAGCCCGTTGGTGCTGGTGTGTGCTGGTCAGGAGCCCTTCAGACCTCCTGCAATGGAACATTTTAGGAGAAGTGGAACAGAAACAATATCTGATCTGACTTCAAAGAACAAAAATGGTGAGTTCGTTGTTGTTCCCTCCCCGCACCGTATTTGCACTGGATGGTGGACCAGTGGGGTAGGCAGATAGTGAGTGCTTCCAGTTAATGAACTGCCTTGGACCCCGTTCCTGGTTATCTCCGTTGCTCATGGCTCTTTCTTGTCTCTTCCTGCTCCTTTTCATCACCATCAACCTTACTTGGTTTGGACATCTGACAGTTGAGAGAGGGAGCATGTACAGGGAAGAGGAATTAGGAAATCTTGAGCTCTATGTTTGTAACTCACCTTTATTACGAATCAGGTGGCATGACAGGTGGGGAGACACGTATTAAGTCAGGTGTGTGGGAGATAGTCCTCCACAAGAGGGAGAAGAGACATCAAAGGAGAGGGGGAAGGAAGGATAAATAGTGCCAGGGGCTTGATGACTAGTTTAAAATATTGAGTTGAAAATCGATGATCTGAAATGTAAACACCCACCTAATTCACAATAAAAAATTGTTTAAAAAGATGTGTATCATTATATGCTGGGAATGTATAGTAGGTTTTTTATTGAATTAAGAACATTATTACAATCAGGTTCCAATGCTAAAGTAAACAACAACAACAATCTAGAATCATGAAAGTATTAGAAGTAAAAACCAAGCAAAATTAAATGCCTACGAGGTACCAGACTTGAGACTTGGTTATATACAATCTGAGAGAGAGATTCCAATTCCGAAAATGAAGAAGAAGAGCAAAATGCCTAAGAGCGACAGTGGACATTTGTTGAGTGCACACTTACATCCGTGTGACCATCTCCTAAGGGAACAGGTGCAGGGACTCTCATGTCTGCTGTGCTGGAGCTGCACGGACGGACATAGTGCCTCTCCGGGGGGAGCTCCCAGAAGCACTTGGTTCTTCTGGGGTAGTGTTCAAACTAGGCACAGCCTTCTCCTACCCAGACACCCGCAAAGGCAGTCTGCTTCTGGTGGCCTTTGTCAGCTCTTCTCTCTTGCTAACCACTGACTCGAGGTGAACCGCGGAAAGCCCTTGTCCCGTAGCGGGTTATGAGTTGGACGCTAACCGTAAAGGGTGAGAAAAGAAAGCGCAAGGGGCCTTGTTCTTTATTAGGGGCAGTCCTTTCTCTGTTTATAAGAGACCACTTCTTTCTGGTCTCCCGTTTCTCATGGATTGAGGTGCAGGCTTGCCTCTCAGGACCTGATACTGTCCGCCCAGGTCCTTCCTTGCAATTATCAACCCAGGAGCTTGATGAGTGATAGGAAGATAAATCACCAGTAATCATTGCACAGCATCATAGAGCTAACCATCAGGTCCACATGCAGTAGCGTATCGATTTCAACTTGTCCAGGAAGTGGTGTGCGAAGACAGGAATTAGCTCTGGGCACTTCTGCTCTGCCTGTCATCTCTGCTGCCCAGAACCCACCGTGTGCTAGAAGCTACTGAGCGTTTTCCATGCATCGGCTCAAACCATCCAAACACTCCTACCAAATGGACGCTGTCCTTTCTCGAGAGCTATTAAGTAGTGAGCCTGGGGATTGAACTCGGGCTCCGTGCTCATGCCATTCAGCTACACGGGTCCACAAACGGACTGCTCAGGTGCTGGTTGTAGAGTAGATTCTGCCCTGACACTGTGTTTGAGGGGGTAGTGCTGTTCGGCGGGGAGCGGCTCCTGACCAGCCTGCATGTTTTGACCTCGGTGTTCTTCAACGCCACTCACCATCTTTTTCTTTTTCCTCTTACGCTTCACTTCACACCAGGGAGCTGGGGACCGAAAGCCAAGCCAAGCATCATCCATTCAAGGTCCAAGTCAGGCGGCAGGTCGAGGCCGCTCTCCGGGCTGTCAGAGAGGTCTGGTCTCAGCAATCCCCCAGGGTCTCTGCATCGCACCTGGCTGGGCTCTGCCCTTCATAGGCACCCTCAGGATACCCCTGCCCACCTTGGCCCCTTGGTGGCTGGTGATGACTTTGAGAAGCAGGTCCACATGAATGAGGACGGCAGCCTGTCTGTGGAGATGAAAATCCGTTTACATCTGCTCAGTGAGGACACCCTTTTGTGGTCCACAGGAGTCAGGAGGGCCAGCGACCTCACAACAGCCAATGAGGAGCATTCCATTCCAGGGGATGTAGCCCCAGTGCACTGTGTGTGGGAGGGAAGCCCTGGGTGCTTCTCAGAGCCTGGGGCATTGAGACGGAGGCCCTGTGAGTCAGGAGGGCAGGAGGACTTTAAACAAGAGCAGCAGGCAGGGCCTGGCTTTGAGATCTGGACTAATCCCCTCTTTAGGTCCCAGGAAGAGGAAATAGATGCCTGGAGGAGGGGCCGGCTCACCCAGAACCGCCACTCCAGGCCTCTCTGGAGCCAAGGAGGGGCCAGCAAGAAAACCAGTAAAGCCAATGCCAGTTCAGTCTCTAACCAGAGACCTGCGGCAGGCTCTGAGCCAGACTCTTCCTACCGTCCCAGGACCACGGCGGGCAGCATGGGCAGCTGCAGTGGGCATCAGGCCTCCAGGGTTGCCTCTGAGAGTAGAGCTGAGCAAGGAGTTGGCTATACACCCTGGAGGGGGAGAAACCCACACCTGGGATCCAATCCATGCCCAAAAGGAGCAGGGAAAGGCAACCAGGAGCAGCCTGCCCAAGAGGAGGGATCTGAGACAGCAGCGTCTTCTCTGGGCTGCTGGAAACCTGAGCCCTGCGGCCAGGAGGATGCTCTTCCTGACTTGTCAGCGGGTGCCAGTGTTCTTGAGAAGTCCAGCGAATGGGGGGAGCCAGGCTGGGACTGTGCAAACAGGAGCGGAACCACAACTTCCAAGCGGGAGCTTAGCCTGGAAGGAGGCACCCATTGCTCTGCTTCGAGTCCCTTATCTTTGAAGAATAGAGGCCTACAGGCAGAGGTGAGTGGACGGGCCATGGAGAGGCACCAGACCAGGGGCAGGTCTGTATCGAGGCTGCCCATGGCTCTGGGCCATTCTGGCTCATGGGATGCTGAAGAGTGCTTGTCCTCACTCTCCTCCTGTGCCCCAGCGCAGAGGAGGGGGAGAAAGCTGAAGAGCCAAGCTCCTGGTGTGTCCTTACCCAGCACTCCTGGCTCTGGCACTGTTTCCCAGAAGAGCTGCCAAAGGGCCTTCCACTGCCCACTGGAGTCCCCTACAACCAAGCAAGCACTGAGTCCTGCTAATAGCGGAGGGCCCTGCTTGGGTGGCCCAGCACCATGTTTTCCTGAAAGTCCATGTGGTGTTCGGAAACGGGCCGCCGAGGACTCAGGATCTCCCTTCTCTGGCTCTCTTCATTCCCAATACCCATCAGGGCTCAGCACGACCACCTACACACCTGGTAGGAGTCGGGGTTCTCAAAACACAGATTGCACTTCTCATCTCTACCACCCACACTTTGCCTCTGCTGGGACTGAGGGGGCCCCTGGGCTGGGGGTGAGTTCAGCAGCCCCCACACCTTCCGACACATCAGACTCCTTCAGCTCTCATGTTCGTGCTGATCGAATGGACAAGAAGGCAGGAGGCAGCATTCCCAAGCTCTCCTCACCTGCAGCTCGGCCACTTCAATGGCCTCACCGACTGAAGTCAGGAGGCCACCAGAGAAGCTGCTGCTCCCCGATTGATACGTCCCTGGACTGCAGGGCCCACCGAGGCAAAATGCGGGCCCAGCAGGTCTCCCAGTCACGGGACATCCCAGAACCTATCTCTGGGGCCTGTTTTGTGTGCACCAGGTACTGTCCCACCCCCCCAAGGGGACAGCCCTGTGTCAAGAAACACTCTTCCAGCAGCAGTAGCAATAGCAGTAGCCGTAGCAACCAACGTGCTGATTGGAGGCCAGATGGAAGTAAGCATGGGCCAGGAAAACTCAATGGACTGAGCACACTGCCTCTGAGCACAGACTTGGGCGCCAGAGGAAGAACAATCGGAGAAATCAGGAGGAGCAGCCCCAGACCCAGAGGGACATCACAGGGGAAGATGTCTGGTGACGGGGCAGACCTTGAAGAGCCAGAGGAAGACGGTGGCATGGTGCCCAGTGCTCTGCCCCACTTCTCGCCAGAAGCTGTTGTCTGTGAATGGCTGACCCATATCCCAGAAGATCCCATCCTCATGAAATATGAGATGGCAGATGAGAGCCCTACTGTGGCAGGGGTTGGCCCCGAAGGCCCCCAGGAGGGTCCTGTTGACAGATATTCTCTGGAAGGTCTCGGGGAGTTAGCTCGGGCCAGAGAACCACAGCCCCTAGAAGGGGCAGCAAGTGAGAGACCCAAACTAGACACAGGCCCAGGGACAGATGATGCTGGCCCCCAATCCGAAGAGGCTTTGTCTCAAAGAGGAGCTTCTGAGAAGGGTTCAGATGTTTACGAAGAAGCCAGAGCCAGCAAGAGAAGGGCGGTGGGCCACAGTATAAGCAAGGGTGCGCTGCCCATCAGGATGCCTACCTCCGTACAGATCATGCGGGCATTCATCAGCTCGAAGCCGGGCCGGCCCAGCAGCATGCCTGAAGTGTCCACCGTGGTGGGGAGGAGGCTCGGCCACTTTGCCCATTCCCTCCTCACCTGTCTGGCCGGGCTCCACTTCTTTGACGAAGACCATGGGTCTCCTGCCCGCAGAGTCAGGTTCACAGACTCCCCTCGGTTCCAGGAGCTCCTGGCCACCTTACAGTCCCTGTGGCCACAATGTGATGAAGGGGAATTGGGCCATCAGGAGTTCAGATTAGGTCATGCTCTGTCCATCCTTGCGTCCCATCCTGTGACTGAGGACATCACCCTGACGTCCTCCTCGGGAGTGGATGTCAGCAGCGGTTCTGCAGGTTCGGGAGAGGGCAGTGGGCCTTGCCCTGGGAAGGGTACCTTCCCCCCTGGAAGGATGGAGCTGCCCTTGCAAATGACAACGAGCTTTATCCCTTGTCAGGAGCCCGGCACCAGGACCTCCGAGGAACAAGAGGGCCTGGGAAACCAGCACCCGATCTGTCCCAAAGACTCCTCGGAGGCCCCAGTTTGGGCTTGTAACCCTAGTCCGGATGAAGCAGGAGAAAAGGGCAGGGATCATGTGCTGGGCAGCAGTCTAGAACAGTTAGTGGAAAGCACGACTCAAAAAGAGGGCATACCAGCCGGAAAATCCCAAGAAGAAATAGAAAAAGAAGAAAGGCAAGAAGCAAGTGATCAAGAGGAAGAGTTTCTGGATGAGGAAGGCATCAACAGACAGGAAGTTACCAGGCTCCAGGGCAGGGGAGCAGGAAGCGATCGGGACTCCACAGACGTGTGTCCTGCAGGGATGAACCAGGAGCCAACAGAGCTGTGGAATCGTGCCCGGGAGAGCAGCTCCCCAGCCAGGGAACTTCAGAGTGGCCTCGCATTTGAGCCTGATTTGAAAAAGCTCGCCGAAAATGATGGCATGGCGGCTGAGCAAAGCCAGGTCACCCCCTCTCAGGGGACTGGGGCGAACAGAAGCCCCATCGCTCCCAGAGTGCCCCTGGACCCTGGCGCCATCTGGGTGCACAAGTTGCTGAAAAAGATGGAGAAAGCCTTCATGACCCACTTTGCCAGTGCCGCGACCTCAGTCCGTGCCCACTGGGGGCTGCAGCACCACCATGTGCTGGACCAGATGGTGGCAGAGCTAGAGCAGGACCTGGGCCGGAGGCTCCAAGACAGCATTACGAAGGAGCTGAGCAAGATCCCGAGGAGGACCGGGAGGAAGGCACCCAGGCCACCCCGGGAAGCCCTGCACTGGGAGATGTCGCTGCAGACAGGTCAGCGGAGGCGCCGGCTCCAGGGTCTGCACAACCTCTCCGCCTTCACGGAGCCGACCGGAGTCAGTGGCTTCTCCCTGGAAGATGAGCCTTTCTCAAGTGGAACTCTGGGGGCTGCGCTGGGCGCAAAGGTCGAGGAGGAAGAATTCTGTCCCTGCGAGACCTGCTTGAGGAAAAACATGAGCCCGACATCCCCAAGGGCCAAAATGGAAGCAGGCGGTGCACCCATCGAGAAGGCCTTTGACCTGCAGCAGATTCTGCAGAAGAGGAAGGGGGGCCGGCCCGATGGGGAGGCTGCAGAGGACGGAGGGGTGGGGCTGGTTCTGGAGGCTTCCTTGAGGACACGAACTGTCCAGGGAGCCGATGAAGAGCTGGAGCCGGGATTCGTCCCTGGTTCTGGGGTGGATGAGGGAGCTAAGAAGGAAGGGCATCCGAAGCCTGGCCGAACTGAAGCTCTCCAACTAGGGGAGGCAGAGGGGACTAGTTCCCAGGAGAGACAGGAAGACTTAGCTGCTCAGCCAAGGGATGGGACAACAGACACCGGTGTTGGCAATGACCTGGAGAGCGAATGGGAGGAACAGGGTGTCAATGAGAAGGAAGAAAGCATGAAGGAGGACACTAGGGATGAAGGTATTTTGGAGGGTGAAGCCTCAAGAAGAGGTGACCCAGGTCCAGGAGGAGAGGATGACGGTGCAGATGCTATCAAGGCCCAGGAAAGCAAACGGGAGGGACCAGCCATGGAGTCAGGAGGTGAGAAAGAAGGAAGCCGTCCTGTTAGCCCAGGGCAGAGCCAGTGGTGTGAAGAGAAGAGGCTCCCACCTTCCCCTGCCCCAGATGCAGACACCCCTCACCAAAGGTCAGCTCCCCAAACAAGCCTCTCCTCCTCCAGCAGGTCATCTCTAGGAAACTGCTCGCGTGTCTCTCAGAAAGGCTCTGAAGAAGCGCGTTCCAATGGCGACACCAGGAGCGTCGCCGGTGAGTCTCATTCAGAAAGAAAAGTCCCCCGGATGCACTCAGAAAGCTCTACTTCGGAGCAAGATGGAACCCTTTGGGGCCCAAGTGCCCCAGAGCAGGGGGCAGATGAAGAGCCTGACTTGGAAGACAGGAAGTCAATGCAAAACCTCACCTTTACTAAGATGGCTGACAGGACAGACGGATTTGGCCAAGATGATTTCGATTTCTAGAGAAGATCAAGTTGTGAGGTGAGGGTGCATCTGATAACACTGTTTTTCCTTTGTGTCCTGTGTCTACGAACTTGAGTGAACCGTCTCCTGGAGATGTATAAAGAACACGGGAGAAGAGCCAAGGACTTGCCAAGGACATGGCGTGCATCACACTTGTTTCTGGGCTCTACACTTTGATGTTTCAACGAGCGCAACTGTCCCCACCCAGACATGATGTGAAGGAGGGTTATCCTCAGATCTGACCTGTCTTGGAGGTCATCCCCCTCCCCCGCCCTGTCATCCCAGGCGATGGACCAGATTGGAGGTGTTCCACTCGAGTTTTTGTTTGTGTGTGTTTGCTTTTTGCTAGCAATGTTGCCCTTGTTCTTTTGCCTATTGATCGTCTGTTATTTTTCTCCTTGGCCTCTCTTGGCACTCACCTCATTCGACTTTGAGGTGCTTTGTTCTAGTCTTAAATATATTTGGTGACGCTGCAGATGTGAATACTTGGGAAAAGCAGATAAAATCAGGGCCAGGTGATAAAGTTTGCTCTTCGCCTCCAAGTCAAGATATACTTCCTCAATTCATATTTTCACCAAGGAAAATTGGAAAACACAAAAGAAGTGGAAGAAGGAAGAGAAATGCCCAAATCACACCAATGCCCTCACTCAGACATCACCTCTCTTAGAAGTCCCAGCTATTTCCTTCTCATCGTTAGTCTAATCATTTTATAGTCGAGATCATCTTTTATATGTGAACGAATACACCTCTTTTAAAAAACTGAGGAGAAATATTTCATTTTTCACAACTGTTCCTAACAATAATTTAAATATCTAAGTACTGTTCAATAGGCAGATATAAAATACTTGATTTTGTTCTTATTGGAGGCCACTGAGATGGTTTCCATGGTTTTCTTCTTAAGCTTGTCTTCTGTCCCTTAGGCGGCTTCTTAGGGCAGTTAGAGTCTTCGGCAAGGGATTACCGAGTCAAAGATCATCATCTTTTTAAGGCTTTTGACATCGTGCTGCTCAAGTGCTTTTCAAAACACCTGTACGTATTCGTTTTCCTCCTCAGTAGCATGCGAGTGCCTGGCCCACCACACTCGCACCGGGTTTGGGGTTGTCATTAAACGGAGGACTCTTGCTAGTCTGATGGACAAAGAAACAGGAGTACCTCATTTTAATGTGACGCTATTTTAGATAGATTGGATTGCAAATGAAATGTAAGATTTTCTTGGTTTTAAAAAATGATTTGGTTATGAATTCTATAGATTGCCTTTTCCCATGTATCTTTTGGGATCCAGTAATTATTATTCTTTTTAAAATAAATTAATCACCTGGTCCCTTTATAACTTAAAAAAAAAACCATTTTTATTTTTGAAGGGGAAACATGTGCTCTCTCACATCCTTCTATATCTGGCCTTGGTCTGGGTTGGGGGGTCTTCAGTGGTGCAGGATTTCTTTGGTTTCACTAACTTCCTGCTCATATGTGGCCATTTGCTGCTATGCAAATATATGAAAATGAGAAACTATGCATGCTACTTGTTTAAACGTAGCAAAAAGCCAGTGCTGGATAGAGACCTGCAGCCTCTGCTCTGCTTGGTTTTGAGTTCTTAATAAAATTGCACATGTTTTAAAAACTTTGTGACAGTGAGCCTTTTTTGTGTGTGTGTGTGGAAGTTTTTACCCTGGAGAAAAGACCTAGTGATTCAAACCACAGCCACTGTCACTGCGAGGTGCCAAGGCTGTGAATCCTAATGGAGATAGGCTGCTTCATCTTCTTCTTGCAGAGCAGCTGATGGGTTCAAACCACTAACCTTTTCATTAGCAGCTTAATGCTTAACCCGCTGTGCCCCGGGGCTTCTCCTGTAAAGATCGCAGCCTAGGAGTCTTCTGAGGGCAGCTCTGTTCGGCCCACAGGGCCACGGCGAGTCAGCGTCAACTGGGTGGCACACACAGCACGCATACATACCGATGGACACGTAGCTCTCTTCCTGGGTAGCGACTCGAGGCTGGTAGCCATTTGAACGCACCTTGACCGCGTGTCAAGTGAGAACGAAGGACTTGGATCTCAGCCAGAAGCCCCAAGTGGACGACTGCTCTAGGCCCTTGATTTAGATTCGGTTCCTGTACATTGATTTCCTAGGAGAGCGTGGGCTTTCTATTCATGGGACGAGTTACAGTAGGCATCGGCTCCATGACAGTGCACACATGCGTTTTATCTGTAGATTTGGAGAGTTTCCCAGCACTCATCATTATGAGTGCGCCCGAAGCATTCACTAAGCATCCAATACAGGACTGGAGGCCCCCCTGTCATTCTCTGGGCACCCTTCCAGCCTCTTCGTTACTCTATCTGCTGCCTCTCAAATATCCGTCATGCCATTAAAACAAGATGAGCCATCTCTGACAACAGAGTGCGATGGAGAGATGACCCAGGCTCAAGGGCCAGGTTTATCTCCCAACCTGCAGTTTGGACAATTGTGAAACGGGCGAGGTAATGTTTTTCATAGAATCAAAGAGACATAAGAATGCACTTCATTATATATACTTTGGGGAAATATCAGTAGTCTAAAGTATCCATATTAATCACAACTACTACTTATTCATCTTGCATACTTTGGACATATTGCCAGCAGAGACCAGTCCCGGGAGAAAGATGTCATGCTTGGCAAAGCAGAGGGGCAGCGAAAAAGAGGCAGGCCCTCCAGGAGATGGACACAGGGGCTGCAGCCAGGGGCTCAGGCAAAGCAACAATTCTGAGGACGGCGCAGGCCTGGGCAGTGTTTCCTTCTGCTGTGCGTAGGGTCACTATAGATCGGAACCGACTCAATGGTACTTAACAAAAACAACATCTATTCACTACTTACTATGTGTCAGGTACCATATTAGACTCTTGATGTCGATGTCCCCACTTAAGTGGCCCGAGATGTCTCTGAAATGGGCACAGGAGACATGGTCATTTTCTTCAAATGAAGAAGGCAAGGCTTGGAAGAGTGAACTGAAAGTTATCCCCAAGGCCGCCCAGCTCGTGAGGGGCTAAGCCAGGACTTAGATTCAGGTGTTGCATTCTCTAAAAATGCATGTTCTTTCCCATGGTACTACATTTCCTTTATTGTAACTCAGGCCTGTGCATAAATGACCCAGGTGGAGATGGTCAACACTTGGAGAAGTGAATTGACTTCAAGATGGGCTTGCTCATCGTTTGCTCCTCTGAGTGCCATCTGTCACCAGTCATGCTCTCCTTACGTACAGATGTCTGGAGCTGGAGATAAGCTGGCTTTATAAAGCTAGGGCTGAAACGGCAGCCTTCTCGCAGCCTCCAACGATGCCTGCCCTTTGGATGAAAACCTTACTACGAATGGGCAATGCTGAGCTTTCTTCTGATCTAGAGATAAAGGAAATGTGGGGCCATCAGTTAAGCTGGGGATTTTGTGTCTTCTCCTTTTTTCTCTATAGTACAAACCTTGGAGATTTAGCATCTCTTGGAAACATTGCTTCGGCTGGCCTGATTAAAACTTAAGTCATCCTTCCCACAAAGTGCTGTCAGTGTAACTCCAGAGCGCTTTCACCAGTGCGACCTCTCCGTGGAGTGAGGAGACTGGGGACTGAGTGGTGGGGAATGGCAGCCGTCCTTCCTTCTCCCCTTCTCTGACTGCCCGGCTGGGCAGGCTCAGCGACTCCAGCCCAGGACCACCTCTCTGTCCTCATCCCTGGCTGCACCTGAGGATGAGCAGCTTCTAGTATCAGATTCTGATGTTCTTGGTTGGAGGGAAGGCTTCAGCAGAACCATATTTTTTAGTTCCTCAGATGATCATAGAGCTCAGGCAAGTTGTCAGATTGCTCATTTACTTTAACATCCCCTTTTCCCAGGTGAGAAACCGTGACCCATCTTGAAAAAGTGAGTCAGTGGGCCAAGCGGACCAATGTTAGGCATCTTCCTACATCACAGCTGACACCCCCCCATTCCAGAGCTAAGAGAGGTGCCGCAGAGACATGCATCCGACGGCAACCTGCTCCCTTGTAACCCACGCACCTCGGACTCCCACCCGCCCGGCCTCTTACCCAAACTCCTCTTGTGGAGGTCCAGACTGTGCCTACAGACTGTGACCAAGGAAGGACGAGGGAGCCTGCCCCCGCAGAGGCTGATGGCCCCCTCAAAGCAAGTGCATGCTTGGGAGAGGAGGCTCGAAGGTTTATTTTGGTGTTTTACTCTAACGAGCATGACATCATGTGGAGAACTTGATTCAAACAGGCAGTTCCATTCATAGGAAATTCTGTCTCAGTGTGGCTGAGGGCGGAGCCCAGGAATCTGTATTTTGTCGAGCACCTGGAGGAAAGCCGGCATACTACAGGCTCCAGCTGCCTACATTCGGTAGTGGACCTCCTACCAGGACCTTCGGAAGGGTGACTGTCTCTTACCAGCTCCAGCACACGCACAGGCATACACACACACACACACACACACACACACACACACACACACACACTCTCCTACTGCCAATGAGGGGGTGAGACGGGGGAGATTCCTTCCCTTCCCTTCACATGGTCTCCCCACAGATAGCTTGGGTCAGTTAGAGCCATCCTAGCGCTTTCTCTGCTTCTGTCTCTTGAGAGGCAATTAGGATCAATAAAGAAACACCTGTCTCCAAGCCCCCCTGTGCCACCCTCGATATCTATCGGCAAGGCAAGCAGCCCAGGCCCCTGCTTGTTGTGGACAAGGGACTCACCTGGAACAGCCTTAGAACGTGGGTTTCAAAGGTCCTTGGGCCTCCACTCTCCTCCGACACCTGTTCCTTTCCCCACACACTCAGGCACGGCATGGCCACAACATCCGCCAGTCTCCATTTCGTCTATGAAAACGTTTTAATCTTTGAAATATTAAAGATTAAGCTTTAGTTCTGTTTCCTCTCATCCTTTCCCCTTTGCCTCTTTCTTCCATCCTGCTTCGGTCTCTCCCCTCCCCCTCCCTTTCTCCCTCACTCTCCTCTCCTGTCCACTCTTTCTGGTCTTGTCAAATTCCTTCCTTCCTCCTATTTGGCCCTCTGCCTTTTTCTCTTCCCATCCTCTCACTTGCCCTCCTTCTTTTCCCCTCAACTCTGTCTTGTGTCCTTCTTCCCTTCCCTCTGCCACAGCTCAGAAGTAGCACTCACTGACCATACATCTCTCCTCCAGAAGCTTCCATCTGGCTGGAGGAGGCGCCTGAGCCATAGGCCTTTGCCCTGTGAACACCTTTCCTGGAGCCCAGCACCCACAGCTAACATCAGTATCTTTGTGGTCACAGTTATCCTCTGCCCCGCTTGCTCCTCATCTGCCCACAGAGTCCCCTGCACGCTGTCAACTCATCTACGGAACATCCTGCAGGCTGTGGGACAGTCTCTCACAAGGGAAAACAGTCACCCCCGGCCCCTGCCCATGGGCCTCAGGGACTGTGGTTGCTCCCATCTTCTAGCTAAGGAGACTGAAGTGCATGAGGACAGGGGCTTCCCCAAAGCCACGGGGCTAGTGAGTGGAGGAAGCATCTCTTGAGCTGTTATGTTCTCCTGATTTCTGACTCTTCCCACTGTGTCCCAGAAAGAACTTTAGCACAGCCCAACCATCTAGGATGGCTTGGAAGCACCTTGTCTGCAGATGAAAAGATGAACCAGGCAACTTCCATCCATCACAGTCCTTCAGGGAAAGACAGCAGTTGGAAGCCGTGACCGGAAAGGAGGAGAGCTTGGCAATAGACTAGTTCTTTGGGGAAACCACTGAGCACCCCCCGAGCACCCCGCCCCCCACCTCCTCCACATTCTGTTTTGTCTGGTCCAGCACAATGAGAGAGAAAGACAGGAAAGGTCAGGGACCCAGGAGTGAGGGGAATGCTTTACAGCTCCTTGGTGCTGCCATCAAGTAGTAGGTAGCAATGCTGCTCCCTCTTTGATCTCAGCTTTCCAAGGACATCTGAGCTTTCAAGTGCGTATTAGAACCAACCCACTGAAAGTTCCCTTATTGGAGAATGAAAGGGTTGAGGGCACAGGGAGGAGAGCTCTACAGGGTGATCTGTGGGGATTCACTTCTGGGGCCCAGACTCCCCGACCCACTAGGAAGCTACTGAGTGCCAAGTTCACCTTGCCCTGGAATGGCCTGCAGATGGGTGGACAGCGTGGTTTGGGCCACTGGGGTGGTTACCATGGATGACCGTCACAGTCTGGGAAGTCCATTACAGTGCTAGTTCTCGCATCAAACACGTGTGGAGCCAGGGGATGTGTCCGCTGCTGAGAATGAGATGAGGCCACTGTTCCTGGCACCCATTGGAGCCCTTCTCCTCCTGCCCAGGGCTCAGAGATCCTGCCCTCCTGTCTGGGGAGTGGCATGCCACCCACTCATGTGCTCCTTGTCAGCAGTAACAGCAGAGAATGAGGCGGTGGCTGAACAAATGAGGAAGTGGCCTTGATGGCGGAAGTGGCAGGAGAAAGGCTGGGGTGGGTGTGGGGCCAGAGGCAGGGAGAGCTGAGAGCCGCAGAAAGGCTACTGAGTGGAGGAGGGAGTTGGTGGCCCACAGGTTGATAACCTGAGTGATGCCAGCTCCGGATGGCAAGTGAGTATGGCGAGGGAGCGGGGATAGGACTGGGAGTGTGGAACTGACCTCAGGTGTGTCCCAAGACATAAGATCGAACTTTGGTGCCTGGAAGGCATAAGATAGAGCGAGCCTGAAAGAATTCTCTGGTGGCCTCTTTCCTGCCTTCTGGAGGAAGGGCTTTCGCTGGTCAGGGTGGAGCACTAGATGAGTCTCTGACTCGCAGACCCATCGGGTTCAAATGTCCAGCACAGAAAGGAGACACTATGGGGCTATTGGACATATGGGGTGCTTTATAAGGGAAGTCTTCTGTGTGAGACATGGAGGCCCAGGTGTGTGAGGACCCGGTGTCTGGAGCCTGGAGTCCTGACCCCGTCTTTACTGCAGGTGATTTCCCCTGAGCCTGGCTAAAGATGGTCTCCCCTGATGTCCTGGCTCAGCCCCCAGCCCCCAGCCAGCAGAACCACCCAGGGGACACCCATATGCTAGGAGTTTCCGGCACCATCAGCCCTGTGGTGAGCAATGAGCTGCTGGGAAAGCAGCCCTCTTTCCCACACTCAGTATGGTGGACGCAGGGCGGTTTGAGACTGAGGGGGCTGGAGGGGAGAGGGCACTTATCCCGTTCTCAGCTCTCTGACCCTGGTTCGCTGTATTCTTAGAGTTCATGTCGCCCAACATCGGCCTTGGTTTTGAGATAAGAACACTGAGGTAGGTCCAGGGCGATGGAGCCTCCTGCCCAAGGTCACACCGAAAGAGCCTGTAAAAACCGTGCCCCTAGACTCACAGGCCAGGCTGTCTCTGCAGGGCAGCATGCGCGGTGGCTTCCGTGGCCGGGTGTGTGGGCGGCCAGCCTGCAGATAGGGGAGGGCAGAGTCCCAGCCTAATTAGAAGCTGTAGAGGAGCGGGGACATGGGGGGTGGGGTGGGGGGGGCGTGCTCAGAGATTAGTGCCCCTTCCATAGATCATAGGCATGCCAAGGACATAATAAATAATCTGCCCCAAGGTTTTAAAGGTAAAAATCAGCAAACCATTAATAATGTCCCCGGCACCATATATCACCCTGAAAACTTCCCATTACGCCGCTCCTGGAGCCCATGTGCCTTTTCTCTGCGAGTCCAACCCCCACTCCCCGCCCCCCGCCCCCGCCCCCAACGCTTGCTGTCAAGCCCCTCCCCCACAGCATGCAGAGCACAAGGGCAAGGGTGCTAGGCTGGGGGGTTCGCGCTTGGCTCTCGCTTTCAGAATTTTGGGTTTCGCTTGGTGGTTTCAGTCACCCGAGAAGAGCAGGTGGGGCTGCCCGCGTCCCTGTCCCTTCCCTGGGGCTCCGTATTCCTCATCCACTTCTCCTGCTAATGGATAGAATGGCTCCGGCGACCCCCTCCTACAACTCGCCCCCACTCCCCACCCCCCTCCAAGCTCTAAGTAGGAATCCTTCCATGACTTCTTTCTCGGGGAAGGAGGTTTAATTAATTAATGCAGCAGGGTCACGTTAAATATGAAAAGTGCTGACTGTTGCGCTTTCCTATTATTGGTCTGCACCTCCCCACCCACCCCCACTCAGCGGGAGGCTGGGGAGACAGGGGTGGAGGCGGGAAGATAGCTCAGGGCCCCTGGTTCTCCAGGTCAGATGGATTAGAAAAGCCAATTGGTGGCTACTGAGTCTGGTGGGCTTCCATGTGGCCAGACCAATGGGGGGGTTGGGTGAAAAGGGTAGATTTGGAAGAGAAGCAGTGGTCATCTGTTTCCAAAAGGCGGCACCCAGGCGTCTTCCTGGAAATGCTGTCATTTAAGGGTAAGATGTGGTCATCGAGCAAGTGGATGGCTTGAGGAAGGGACGAGGAAAATTAGGAATCCCTTGTCCCAAGCGATTCAAATCCCAGCCAGCCCATGATGGAGCCCTGGCGTTGAGCTGTGGTTAGGTGCTGTGGACCGGTTTCTGACTCACAGTGACCCCACAACCCTGCCAGGTCCTCGCCACCCTCACCATTGTTGCCAGGCTGGAGCTCATGGTGGCAGCCACCTGTCCATCTGGCTCCAAGGGCCTTGCTCTCTTTCGCTGCCCCGCTACTTTAAACAAGCTCTCTCCTGACAACATGCCCACAGCACAAGAGACGAGTCTCACTCAAATCTGGAGATTGCATGGGAGCCTTCTTACTAGCACTGGTGGTGAGAACCTGACCCCCTTTGGGCCTCAGTCTCAGCCATCAAGTGGAGACGGTAGAACAAGACCTCCCCTGCTGCAGTGGGAGGCTAGGACCCATCCCATCACTTCTGTGGACCGGGAAGCTCCTAGACTCACCACAGTGCAAGTGGTTTCCTGGATGGAGGATATGCACCGAAGACAGAAGAATTCCATGTGGGGCTTCCAAAAGCTCGTGGGGAAAAAAAAAGGTATGAAATGGAATTTGTCCACGAATTTTTTCAAGTCCCCTCATGTCTAATTCAAGCGCTAATTGTTAGGAAGACCCCCCTCTCGTGGGAAGCTGTAGAGAAACTTATCGGTCAGCTTGGGGAACTAAACACCAAACTCACTGCATCAAGTCAACCCTGACTCATAACGACCGCAGGGACAGGGGAGAACTGCTTCGGTGGGCTTCTGAGACTGTAACTCTTTACGGGAGTAGAAAGCCTTGTGTTTCTCCCAGGAACGGGGCTGGTGGTTTCGATCTGCTGACCTTGTGGTTAGCATCCAAAAGTTTGGGGCTGTGCACTCTAATCCCAGCCCTTTTGAAATAGGCTGGGCAAACCTGGGGTGAGCTCCTTCCCTCCTCTGAGTCTGTTTCCTCATCTACAGTGGGGCGATTGCTAGATCCCTTTCACACAATGAAATATAGGCTCAGTCGCCGAGTTTGGTAAACACCTGCTAGGTAGACCTGGTTTGGTGCAAGAGGCTGGAATCCATAAGTCTTAGCCTTCCTTGACTTGACTAGGACATATACTTTTCCTGGACTCAGGGTTCTGGGGCCATCCTCCCCAGGCTCAAAGTTGGGACCAGGACTCCTCCCCTCAGGCCTTGAATGTGGTAGCTCTTCACATTTGACGTATCCCTTGCCCCGCAGAAGAGCTCAGTAAAGAAGCCAGCAAGACCTCCTCTTCCTATGTGATGGATGAGGAAAGTGACATGGAAGGACAAGCGGGAGGACTGGAGAAATCCAATCTGGGAAGGCTCTCCTGTGGAAAGATGACAGATCCCCTTTTGGGACAACCGAGAGGAGGGCACTCTGAGAGCCTGGGAGACGATGCCTTCCAGACAAGCCCTCTGTGGGGAAGCAAAGCTTGCGCTTTCCATGTGGTTTGATGGAAACCGTCTATGCTGGGAGCTGACCCTCAATGGGAAATCACACTTTATGAGACAGGCTCACATTCCCTCCCTTGGCCAATGGGTCACTTCCCAACTTGAGTTTGGAGGGGCAACATGAAGCAGAGCTCTGGACAATCAAATCAGTAAGGAGCTGGCCCCAGGGACCACCAAATAAGCTTTAGGCTCTGCCTTTCCTGTTAGGAACTCCTGGAAACCCAGCATCTTTGGCGGCTGGTAGGGCTCCCAGGACCACGGCATTCTGGGCACCCTGTTCCTTCAGGGAAACCTGGATCCAGCAATAAGACCCAAAGCAGGACCTCAGTATCTTAGGGACTCAGCTGGTAGAGTTGTCTACCAGGGGCTTGGCCCTCAGCCACACCTTCCTCTGTACTTTCTCCACCCTGCTCAGGCCTGTCTGCCACTCTCTCTCCAGGGACCTACCATGTGATCTGGGACAAGCAATCAACTGCTCCAAGGCTCTGCTTACTCCGTCACCAAAATTAGCCTAATGCCTGTTTTACTACGTGGGTGTAAAAATGAAATGGTACGATCGAGGTGGACAGGTCACAGGAAATACAGAATAATTGGGTAGTACAGTGCAACGCTGAACATTATTTGCCGTAGGTACAGTGTGTTCCTTCAGTTCAGCAGGGCAGGGGGGAAGGTGGGGCAAATTCAAAAGGGAAGGAAGTAAATTAGGAAAGGTCTAATAAAGGAAAGAACATTTCAGCAGCAGCCTTAAGAAAAAGTAGGTTTTCACAGGAGGAGCTGGCAATTGGCATGAGGGAGGCTCCAGGGGGAAGGGGCAGAGAAGCAAACCCCCTCAGCCCGAATCTACTGCCCCTGAATCTGACCCATTGCAGAGTAGAACTGTACCTTTGGGTTTCTAAGAAGGCAGGAAGCCCCATCTTTCTTCTACACAGCGGCTGATGGTTTTCAAACTGTGGACCTTGCGGATCACAGCCCAACAAATAACCATTATGCCACCCAGGCCATAGCCCCAAGAAATCATTCATTCAGGTACCATCTCTACAGATGAGAAGGTAACTCTTTAAAGGTGCAGGCAGCCTTCTGTCCCCGCCACCCTCCCCCACTTTCTGAGGAGGGTTTGAACTGCCAGCTTTGCACTAATAGCCCATTGCATAGCCCACTATGCCACCAGGGCTCCTTATCCAGAGGATGAGAAAACTTGAAAGTCAAGTGTGCCCAGGGCACTCGGGAGGTGGAGGGAAAGGGGCAGCATGCTGGCCTATATGCCTGATTCTGAAAGGCCTCTTCCCTCACGTTGGCCTAAGCTCCCTGCCAAGACGTCCACTCTGATGATAGAGTGCACTTCCCCAGCCATCGTCCTAAGAGACTCTGGCTTCCCTCAATTCCATGTCACTGTGATAGACCCTCAGCCCCTGCTCAGGCCTTGATGGATGGCCCCCAAGCTGGATTTCATACATCTCCGTCTTCCTGGGAAACTGTGACACAAGTACGGTAATTGGTGTCACCTTTGTTGATTGCATGCCAAGTGCTGACAAAACAGCCCATAATAGGGAGCTCCAGTGTCCTGCCCTTGATTGGGCGGAGGAGGGATGTGCACAGAACTGCCCCAGGGTCACACAGAACTCTCAGGGTCTAACCAGGGGAGTAGCAGCTAGCCCAGCTGCTCCTGAGAACAAATGCCAGTCTCTTCATCCTTATCTTGAATCTATTTACCCTGACACACTATCTGCATCTGCAGGGGCGCTTCCAGTCTCTTTCAGGAGAAGGTAGGGTTTACAAAGGGAAAACTAGACCACAGCCTGGCCGTGTAGTGCGGGTGTGCTGGGCTCCTAGCCGCAGGTCGACAGAAACCACCAGCCGCCCCAGGGAGAAAGACTCAGCGTTCTCCGTTGACAGTCTGAGAACCCACAGAGGGTGGGCAGGGCGGTGCGGGGGTGGGGGGGGAGGGGGGGAGGCTAGCTATGAGTTGGCATCAACCCGATGGCCGTGAGTGTGGTTGGGATCACTAGTGGTCTGGGTTTGGGACAGGTATGGACCTCCAAAGCTCAATCATTGTTTCCTTGGGCTACCCCGCTAGGGTCTTAACTTTTGGCCTGGCGGGGTTTGATTATACAGGGTACCCACAATTGTTAACTCTCTGCTAAGTGCCATCAGCCACAAACAAAATGGCATCAGGAATGACTGAATGCCAGGGGCCACTCCTCAATGGCCAAGGTGAAAGGCAAACACCCACCTTGAGTCCCACCGTCTGCAGGGCTCTCAGCCATTGAGAGAGCCTGCTCTCATGTTTGGCCAAGCCCTCGAATATTTTGTCTGCCCGCTGCCACTGCCCTCCCTGGCTGCTCTTCCTGAACATGTGACAGGCCACCTGGGTGGTTTGGGTGGGGTGAGAAGACCTCTGCCCATCTGAGACCTCTGGACTTCAGAGATCTGATCTGTGGGTCTCCTGGATCGGTGGGTATTCCATCCCGCCGATGGAAGACTGGATGGGACTGTCTTTGTTAACTATTCACTTGTCCACATCTCTCCAAGGGTGCGCACACCAGTAAAGAATCCACTGTGTACCAGGAAGAGGAGCCATGGGTCACACGTTGGACTGCTCCCGGTGAGGTCAGCAGTTCAGACCCATCAGCTAGCTGCTCTGTGGGAGATAGATCCCGCTCTCTGTCCCCATCTAGATTGACCGCCTCAGAGACCCACAGGGCCAGTTCTACTCAATCCTATCGGATTACTAGGAGTTGGAATCGAATTGATGGCAGTGAGGTTTGGGGTTTGGGTGTGCCACGAGTCATAAATAACATGGAGGCACTGGTGCGCCCTCCCTGACCCTTTCTCTGTCTGCAGTCGACGGGAGGGAGGCTGGAGCCATGCCCAGGCTGTCCCCGAGGAGACGACGCTGCCCTTCCGGTGCTCCTTCCCTGGAGAGCGGATCTGAAGCTCCCAACGGCCCCGCCAAAGAGCAGTCTCCAGCCTGCCCCCTGGGACCTGCAAATCCTTTCTCGTGCTCTGGCCGGGCCTGGGAGAGTCCCTGCCACCGCAGGCCGGCTCATTGTCCCGCTCCTTCGCCACTTTTCCTCTGCCGCATTGTTCCCGTTATCAGCATCCTCCACGCTGCAGCGGCTGCACAGGAAAGCCTCGCTGCCGCTGCCCAGGCCGATGGGGCCCAGGTGTCCTGCTGCAAGGAGCCGGCTGAACAATTGAGCCGGCGCCCACGGGGTGGGCAGTCTGCTGGGCGCTGGGGTCCATGGCACGTGCCCTGTGCTTCCTTTGAGGGATCAGGGCGCTTGATGCTTGGGAGTGGGGGTGGGCAGGGGAGGCAGGAGCCAGGGCTCTGGACTCACCAGTCTCCTGCTCACCTGTCTGGTCCTCGTCTGTGAAGGTAGACGGGCTGCCCAAGTTCAAATCCCCGTGTGTGCCTTGGTGCCTTGATCTGTTGAGGCCAGGCCTGCCTGTGTCTTCCAGCGACTTACACAGTGCCGAGAACAGGAAGGGTCTTTGGAGACGATCGCCGACCAGACACGGGAGAGGACTAGGCAACTGGACGGAAGTGACACAGACTGCCTAGGGTATGAAGGGTGTACCTCACCCACAGGTTCCGGGGGTCCTTCATGCGATGAAGGGTTTAGATTAGAGCAGGTCTAACAAAGAAGCCCCTACCCAAAGATTTTTGGGAGGAGGAGATGGAACCCTACTTCTAATCTGCACTTGGCTGGAACATTCCAGGAGTCTCAGGAGAGCTGGCCGCACAGACTTAGCCAATAAACACACCAGAAGCTACCTAATAATAATAACAATTAATAATAATAATAATAATACTCAAGTATGTCCCATGCAGTTCTTGGGTTATACTAGTATAATAGAACCCTGGACCTTGATGCTAATCCGTTCTGGAAGGAATGTCGAGATGTGTTGCAGTAGAATTCTGAATCCATTTTTTCCATACGAAATAACTGAAAATGGATTAATCTGTTCTCGACCACAAAGTTTTCACCCTAACCTTGCCTTTTAATACAAAATATTACACAGAAATTTCAAAGTAAATAAGTTCAGAGTTGAATAATACAATTTAAATAAGAAACACAACATTTAAAAAGCTTTAACAATGACAGTATGGCCCAGACCTTGATGTTGATGAGGATCTGGATCTGTGGACATGGATGTGGAGAGGAGAGAGGGATGGAGAGAGAGTCATTGTTTGGAAGGGGAATCCCCTTCCATAAAGTCAACTGGTAGGTGCTTTTCAGGAGTTTTTCCCTTCTTTGCCTTTTTTGACTAGGACCTGCCTGGCTTTCTCTTTAAAAAAATAATCTGTCTAATGTGGTCTGCTGTTGGCATTTCCTTAACTGTTTTCTAAAGAGGTTTACTAAATTATCATCAACAATATTGATAACACGGTTAACCAGCTCCTTATCATGATTCTTTAAAAAAAACTCTTTCTTAGGACCATGTTTTTTTATCTAAAAATAGTACAAAAGCCACAAAACTAAGAACATTGTAGCAAAACGCTGGGAACACAGCTGCAAAAGGTTTAAACAACGCATACTAACAACTCCAACCAATGCCGAGTGACTGAAACATGAACTGCATTTGTTTACAAAAATCACGTGCCACCGGTCGGATTCCGATGTTTTGTTCGAGCTCTGATGCAAAATTTTCTCGACACTTTGCACTGAAATTCTATCATGGCAAGTACTGATGCCGTCGAGTACTGGGGTTCCACTGTACTGGTTGCCATCAAGTTGGTGACCCCGTGGCTGTCACCAACTTTTCTTGAGCATTTTCCACAACTGGGTTTTGGGAAGTCAATCCTTAGGCCTTTGGGTGGGACTCCAACCTCCAACCTTTAGGTTAGCAATCAAGCTCATACACTGTGTGCCGCCCCCCACCCCCCCAAACAGGAACTCCACTTGGGACATGCTTATTCTAAAATCATTTTCTTTGCTTACCTGGAATTCAAATCTATCTGGACATGGCAACCTTTGGTAAGATCCAGAATGCAGTAGAGAGGTCTTGGGGGTGTTCAGACAGGACTGGTGTGTCCCAGGAGCATTCCCTCCTTGGTCCAGACCCCTATAGAGTGGACCGGTGGGTGAGGGCTGCTGCTTCAGATGCAGGGAAGGCCCCAAGTTGAAGCCAGGTGGCACAGGCCAGACCAGAAGTCCTGGACCCAGGACTCCGCTGCTTCTTCAGGTGGAGCCTTGTCCTCTGCGGACTCAAGCACGTAACCGGAAGTCTGCAGAGCTCCACAGGTAACCCAGCTTGGAAGCAAGTTGTATTTTTACAGGCGGGGATGTCTCGCCCTCTGCTGGCCAATATGAGTATAACATACTTTTTCATTCTCGGCTCTTCCTAGTGGAATTACTTTATAGGTGCCATTTAGGGCCCATATTCAACTCTTTATCTGCATGGGGACAATCTGAATTTTGGCTTTCCTATGAAGAACAATCCATCTGAATGAATCCTTGTTGCTGGGGGAAAAAAAGTCCACACATTTCTTTGATTCCAACAGAGTGGGAGCTCAAATGGAACACAATAGTAAGCTCTCATTCTGTCTCTCAGAAGGTGTGAACTTGGAACCCTCTCCCGAAGAAGGATAGCATGCAGACAAAAGAGGGGGCCAGAAAATAAAGAAGACCCTCCGTGAGATGGGGACCCTCCGTGAGATGGGGACCCTCCGTGAGATGAGTTTGTATTGTTGCTGTAACAACGGGCTGAGGCATCACAGAGATTGTGAGGATGGTCCAGAAGCGGGCAGTGTGGTACAGAGTCTTATCCATGAAGCTGCTGGGGGCCAGGACTGACTCAGTGCCCCTAACAACAGCCAGGCACAACAGCACTCACTGCAGTCTGGGACACAGTGCCAGCCATTGTCAATGGTGGAGAGGGCACCAGGATGGGGCGACCAGGCTGGGGGACTTCCTAGCTCCTCTGGACCCACACAGCCAGGGCACAGTGTCCTTATCCTGTTTGCTGTACTCCAAACTCGACTCTCAAGTCACAGGCTTGTGTGTGCCATCATTTCCTGTTCATGCTATTGTCCAGGATCATTGAATGCTTCCTGGGATCTGCTTCCACCCAAGACACCTCCAAACGACCAATAGCCATTGCAGGACCAAGCTCTCTATCTAGACTCAACAGGGCAATAAGCACCATCCCAATACATGACTGTAAATGACTGTACAAAGATGGTTGCTATTAGGGGACATCAAGTCAGTTCCGACTCAGTGACCCTATGTATAAGCAGATTGAACACTGCCAGGTCCTGTACCACCCTCACAATTCTTCATAAATCTGAGCCCATTGTTGCAGCCACCAAGTCAATCCATCTTGTTGAGGGCCTTCCTCGTTATCACTGGTCCTCTGCTCTACCGAACACGAGGTCCTTCTGCAGGGACTGGTCTGTCCTGACAACATGTACCAAGCACATGAGATGAAGTCTCACCATTCCTTGCTCTAAGAAGCATTCTGGCTGTACTTATTCCAAGACACCTGTTTGTTCTTTTGGCAGTCCATAAAAATTTAAATATTCTTCGCCAACACTATAGTCTCCAAATGCATTGATTCTTCTTTGATCTTCCTTATTCAAGGTCCAACTTTCACATGCACATGAGGCAGCTGAAAAGACCATGGGTTGGGTCAGGCACACCTTAGTCCTCAAAGTAACATTCTAAAGAGACCTTGTGCAACAGATGTACCCAGCGCCGTATCCCGTGTGATACTTTGACTGCTGCTTTCGCGAGCATTGATTGTGGCGCCAAGTAAGATAAAACCCTTGACAACTTCAGTCTTTTCTCCATTCATGATGATGAACCTACTGGTCCAGCCGTGAGGATTTGGGTTTGCTTCACATTGAGTTGTGGCCCACACTGAAGGCTGCAATCCTGGATCTTCATCAGCAGGTGCAGAAAATTAGAAAGGTCTGTTAACGCCAGCCATGGAGGAGTCTCACTCACACTGAAGCTGGGAAATAGGAGGTACTTCTTACCATCAAGACATTTATAATCCGAGTGATAAAATGGTATCACTGCTAGTGTGAGCTATAGAGCTGCAAAGATATGCTACAGACAGGTTTAGGGAGCAGCTTGGAAATTGCGCACTTCTTTGAGAAAACGAATACATGATTACAAATACAAAATTAGGCACAGAAGTGATTACTTATATGAAATGAGAAAAATCAATCATAATAAATAAGTTTATTTTATTTTTTAAGCTGAAAAAATTCCACCAGTGATAAGAAACCAATCTAGCCAGGTCTCTGGCTCTGTACACTTCAACTCTTATTTCTTCTTTACTTGGTATATTCTTCCATTTCTGGGAGCTCTAAGATTTGTTTCCACAGAAGTAAGACTACTGGCCTGCCCCCTGAATCTCATGGTGGTTTAGCACAGCAGGCCCCAGTGTCCCTGGAAACTATTTCGACCTCAGGATGGTTAGCAATGTTTAACTCTATACAGGAATGACCCAAGTGCATAAATACCTCCCACTAAAGCCAGGTGAAGAAATCTTCAACTCAGTGTTCCTTTATTGAACTCTAATAAATGCCTTTGGCTGTCCAGTCAGTGCCACTGGACAGCAGGGCAGGTATGTAAAACAAGCCAACAAACAAACACGTGCTAGCGGGGGCAACTGTCGGCTCTACTGCATGAGGACCCTATGTGTTTTCATGGCTGTGGCCTTTCCAAAGCAGATGGGCAGGACTCTCCTTGGCCGCCCCTCTGAGGGGTTCACAACCCCACCCTTTTTGTTTGTTTGTCACCATGGATTTAACTATTCCCACCGCCTAGGGACACATCATGGCCAGTTCAACCCATTGCCGCTGAGTCATTTCCGCCGCCTGGCAAACCCAGAGCACGGGATAAAAGTCTCCCACCAGGTTTCCACAAGAATGACTGGTGGGTTTAAAGCACTGACCTTTAGGCTTAGCGTTAGCCAAGC